CTGTTCTCTTCTTATTAGCGTCAACGACAACATAATCCTTGAATCCAAACTTGACTATTTTTGGAGTAACGCTAGCCGCTGCCATGTTAACTGACACTCCTGCCGTCTAGTGGGTTGCCAGGTTTGCGCGCACGGCGCTATAATCACCCAATCACGTTTCGAAAAAACTAAACGTAATATCTCACTACAAAAACAAACGCAAATATTTAATTTTAAAAAGTCAAGTCCTTTCAAGTCATCTGTCTCAAGCTTAAGTCAAGTCTCAAGTCATGAATACCAAGTCAAAGTCAAGTCAAGTCTTTTATCAATGTTAGTCAAGCAAGTCTCAAGTCCAAAAATATGCACTCGAGTCCGACTCGAGTCAAGTCATGTGACTCGAGTCCCCTCCTCTGGTAATAAGGGTATCTTTATCTTGAATTGTGTGCCGCAGTGCGTTAGAATTTTTTCGCTCAGGGGTCATTTAGACGCTTCTTATGAGACTTGTGTTTTGTTTTGGTAAAAATGGTTCATATCTTCAGTTAGCTGAGATTCTTCCCGTTAATCTGGTGCTACACATTAATAGTTTCATAAATGTTAAGAAGCCCTGAGACATTATCTCGAAAAAAAAATGGTGGGAGGGGTCCAATGGGGGGACCGCCGTGCTTAAGAGGTTAAGGGGTTAACATCTGATCTGAGGGGAATTTCCTGTTGTTTATTTCTAACATTTAGTAGAGCACTTTGAGCTGCACGTGCTGTATGAAAAGTTAGTATTGATTGTCCACCACTGTTAGCCGTTAGCACTAAAGCTCACATTCAGACTGATAGGAAACACCAGAGGAGCTGAGAGAAAGTATCAGAGAACGAGGTAACACACAAGAGGGGAGTTAGTCGGTTCCGTAAGAGGTGAGTGTTAAATGAGTTATGACATCACTTATGACATCAGTTACGACTCGGATTTGTGGTCTTTCTTTGTGTATTTTCACAGTCTTATATTTCAACAATTTTAGGACAAACTGTGACTTTCTTGACATGGAAAATATTTGTTTAAATTGACAAACATCATATGTGTAATTCATGGCACAATTCGGGATCAAATATCTCAATAAGAGCACGATGACCTGACTTCACAATAAGAGCACGATGACCTGACTCCAAAATAAAGCATAAATGACCTGACTTCACAATAAGAGCACAGATGACCTGACTTCACAATAAGAGCACGATGACCTGACTTCACAATAAGAGCACGATGACCTGACTTCACAATAAGAGCACAGATGACCTGACTTCACAATAAGAGCACGATAACCTGACTCCAAAATAAAGCATAAATGACCTGACTTCACAATAAGAGCACGATGACCTGACTTCACAATAAGAGCACGATGACCTGACTTCACAATAAGAGCACGATGACCTGACTTCACAATAAGAGCACGGTGACCTGACTTCACAATAAGAGCACGATGACTTGACTTCACAATAAGAGCACAGATGACCTGACTTCACAATAAGAGCACAGATGACCTGGCTTCACAATAAGAGCACGATGACCTGACTTCACAATAAGAGCTCGAAGACCTGACTCCAAAATAAAGCATAAATGACCTGACTTCACAATAAGAGCACAGATGACCTGACTTCACAATAAGAGCACGATGACTTGACTTCACAATAAGAGCACAGATGACCTGACTTCACAATAAGAGCACGATGACCTGGCTTCACAATAAGAGCACGATGACCTGACTTCACAATAAGAGCTCGAAGACCTGACTCCAAAATAAAGCATAAATGACCTGACTTCACAATAAGAGCACAGATGACCTGACTTCACAATAAGAGCACGATGACCTAACTTCACAATAAGAGCACGATGACCTAACTTCACAATAAGATCACGATGACCTGACTTCACAATAAGAGCACAGATGACCTGACTTCACAATAAGAGCACGATGACCTGACTTCACAATAAGAGCTCGATGACCTGACTCCAAAATAAAGCATAAATGACCTGACTTCACAATAAGAGCACAGATGACCTGACTTCACAATAAGAGCACGATGACCTAACTTCACGATAAGAGCACAGATGACCTGACTTCACAATAAGAGCACGATGACCTGACTTCACAATAAGAGCACGATGACCTGACTTCACAATAAGAGCACGATGACCTGACTCCAAAATAAAGCATAAATGACCTGACTTCACAATAAGAGCACGATGACCTGACTTCACAATAAGAGCACGATGACCTGGCTTCACAATAAGAGCACGATGACCTGACTTCACAATAAGAGCACGATGACCTAACTTCACAATAAGAGCACGATGACCTGACTTCACAATAAGAGCACGATGACCTGACTTCACAATAAGAGCACGATGACCTGACTTCACAATAAGAGCACGATGACCGGACTTCACAATATGAGCATCTGGTAAGTCGGTTTTGAAGGTGTTTTTTTAGTTGGGTAACAATAAAGCCCTTTTTGGATTTAACCACCGGCTCTG